TGTGTGTGTATATATGTATATATATATGTGTATATATGTATATATATATATGTATATATATGTGTATATATATATATATATATATGTATATAAATATATATATATATATATACGTATATGTATATTTAAGACACTCTAAATTGTCCCCGTCATACTGAAATGAAAGAAAGTATTTTTGTACGTTCTTTTGGCAGCTTTTTTCTCAGTGTTCAAACCTGGAAGACCAGAAATTTCAGAAATTCATTGTTTCTTGTCATTTTAAAGATTTACATTAATTAATGATATCATAGCCAAGTGATTTTGGCCTAATTGAAACTTTTCCAAATGTGGTGTTTATTTTGGTTGTCTGGAATTCTGATTATGGTTTTGTCTGGCTTCATAACAATGTACATTATTTGTAAATTGCCGCCATGTATCAGTGATATTTATAAGATTTTTTATTACATAATAGGTGAACATTATATATTCAATATCAGGGTATTTAGATTATGATATCAGTATATAATAATATGGCAAATCCTGGAAAGAATTTTCCATGTGCATAAAATATGCTTCAAACTAGATGGAATCGTTACAAATTGATAGTCCAGAAATAATATTTGATTAGTTGGATTATATAGAAAATAACATGTTTGTGCACTTCCATAATAAATGCTATTTCGGGGCATAGACGCTGACTGAAGTCTTGTTTTCGTTATATCAGTGTCATTTTATTGGTAACATTTCACCATATTATCATTTGGAATAAATGCTCATTAAACGAGTATGCATGTGTCACGTGTTATATCCTCCAATTATGATTTTCTATCAAAATAAACTTTAAACGAAACAGTACTGACTTCTAATATGTTATTCAAACAAAAGTGTATAGTAGGCAGACATAAATTCCTCCAAGGATGTCCTTTTCAAATTATTTTTACCACCCTACATGCTTTAGAGATAACAAATAGCAGTGATTGACACGTCTTCATAGAAAGAATATCTAAAAAAATACTGAAATCATAGACCTATCAGCATAAATAAAATTAAGCCTGACTTGACTCCCAAATACAATACTGTATTTGTAAACGGTTGATCCAACTTTTTCTCAAAAGTTTGTTAACATTTGTACATGTACATTATACATCAAACAGTTTGTATTTTCCAAGAATGATTTATATAATCTCACTTTTCCTTTCTCACTTTGCCTTCTTACCATACCAATTAAGTTTAAACAAATTATTTTAGAAGTAGTACTGTAGGTAAACATGCTTGTGGTAGGTGTAACAAAAATTCTTTCATATTTCAAACCAAGTACAATCACCATTTACAGGATGGACTTACTGTATGTGACTTCCAATAAACTAATACTTGGTTTCTATATAATACTGTAGCTACATGCTATCACCAACAGCTTTCGGTGATGCTGATTGGTCGGTAGTAATCACGAAGCCTTCCCAATTGCGTCTAGAAAACCAGGCTTTAGGCTTATGAAGAGGTTGTAGGGAGTAGTGGTGTCTTTATTTTGTATTTTCTATCCTTACCCTACCCTACCGTAATTTTCAATATGTACCCTGACATTCCATTAACACTTACCGCATACCTGTCTCTTATACACATCTAGATGTGTATAAGAGACAGTACCATAGCCAAGTGATTTTGGCCTAATTGAAACTTTTTCAAATGTGGTGTTTATCATGTGGTGTTTATTTTGGTTGTCTGGAATTCTGATTATGGTTTTGTCTGGCTTCATAACAATGTACATTTTGTAAATTGTCGCTATATATCAGTGATATTTATAAGATTTTTTATTACATAGTAGGTGAACATTATATATTCAATATCAGGGTATTTAGATTATGATATCAGTATATAATAATATGGCAAATCCTGAAAAGAATTTTCCATGTGCATAAAATATGCTTAAAATTAGATGGAATCGTTACAAATTGATAGTCCAGAAATAATATTTGATTAGTTGGATTATATAGAAAATAACATGTTTGTGCACTTCCATAATAAATGCTATTTCGGGGCATAGTCGCTGACTGAAGTCTTGTTTTCGTTATATCAGTGTCATTTTATTGGTAACATTTCACCATATTATCATTTGGAATAAATGCTCATTAAACGAGTATGCATGTGTCACGTCACGTATTATATCCTCCAATTATGATTTTCTATCAAAATAAACTTTAAACGAAACTGTACTGACTTCTAATATGTTATTCAAACAAAAGCGTAGGCAGACATAAATTCCTCCAAGGATGTCCTTTTAAAATTATTTTTTACCAACCTACATGCTTTGAAGATAGCAAATAGCAGCGATTGACACGTCTTCATAGAAAGAATATCTAAAAAAAATACTGAAAACATAGCCCTATCAGTATAAATAAAATTAGCCTGACTTGACTCCCAAATACAATACTGTATTTGTAAACGGTTGATGGTAGACAATATTTTGAAAATGTTAGGCCTAGGCCAACTTGTTTTACTGTTATTACAATAACGCCACGGCTATTATTTATGCACAATCTCACGTGCATTTCGCCATATACAGAACCTCTCAATCGTTTTCCGAAAAAATACATCAATAGCTGGATTATTGTCGACACCGATTGATCGAAACCGTAATATTTTCATTAACTTTCACTTACAAACGGCATAGATATTTCAGTTCATTTACTCAACACAAAACGAAGTGTACTAGATCTCGAAGCGTTTTTTCAGTTCCAATCTTATTAGAGCCAATAACTCAATTGAGAACATAACAATGTAAATTTCCTTAAACGCCTTCCTGTCGATTTTGTTCCGTCTGCACTATCAATTACTACATAATTCAAAAACTAACTCAATAAAACCGCAATCATATAGAAGTATTAAAAGTTAATCGTGCACATTATATTCCACTACTGTAAAAGCAAAAATAAAGTACTAACAAAATAGACGTAGTTTTTTGAATGCCTGAATGTATTTGTCAGTCTAATACACTATACAATTCTTAGACACGTATAGGTTTTTCATGTATTAGATTATCACTTTTATTAAGAACACGGCAGAGGATTACCTGCATACCTTACTTATGCCTGTTCAGACTATCACATTTTATTCGGCAAAAACACGCGACATGCCTAAATACGGTAGTGATGACATCACATCATGACCATATATAGGCACATCATGACTATATATGGACATACAACAGCTTTTTGTCAAAGAAAATTTGATAATCTGGATGGAGCCTTAGATCAGAGTTTTCCGAATTAAGAAATCTCAAAGTTTAGCTAGCAAATAATTAAAGTGATGTCACAGTAAAAGTAAGAAAATGTTTTCAATATTTGGATGGATGGATTTATCAGTGTAAACATCAAGAACCCACGAAAGTATGAAAAGGGAGACAATCCCCTACTCTTTTTTGCCAGAGTGTACTGTACTGTGTTCTTTAACATACGAATGGGCCATAATACACACAGGACCAATGGCTTAAACGTCTCATCCGAAATACGGTGCGTTATTGTAACTTGCAACTTGCAATTCAGCCATGCAGCTGAAACACAAGCAGAGCAGCGATGGGAATTGAGGCAGGGACCTAGAGATCTCCCGGTTCAGCGCGCACACAGTGGCTACCACCAGTTTAGCTGAATGCACATGTTAACAGCTTAATGTTTTCATTTAAGGTTTGAGTGTCTATCTGAAAATAAAATAAAGCATTTCAGTACCAAAAAAAAGAAAGAAATAGAGACAAGTTTTAGGTGCACATTTATTAATTTATTCACTTTACCCCGATTAAATCACAAGCACAAAGACACAAGCTGTTACACATGCGAGTATCATTATAATGTAATATCATATAGCAAAGCTAGTCACTACAAGTTACATGCAAATGCAGATTAATTTTATAACTTTCTCCAATATAAAGAAGGCTGACTTCATTTATAAAATTGATATATTTTTAAGCTTTAATGAACGTTTAAGACACCGAATTTCTTCTTAGTGTGATGGAATTTATTTATTGTATTGGAATTCCACAAACTTTTGTTAACTTTATACTTTCAAACAATTATTTCTATGGAGTTTAACAGAAGTTATTACAATAAAAAGTTTCAAACACACCAACACATTATTTTTCTCCAAAACCAAAACACACATTCTTCAATACTGACTCTAAATATTCCATAGTATTAATTGTATTATATATAACTAATATTTAGAATATTTTTAAAATTTACTACACAGTACAGTACTTCAAAAACATCTTACAAAGCCAAAGTTACGAGTAAAGGATGCCACAAAAAGTTGAACTATTCAACATTTTGAGTAACATAGGATGCGGGATAACAACGCAGCCGAAACAAATAAGGGCGTGTCCGTCATTAGAAACTTATGCATTCATTGGCTTAACCTGGTAAAGTATTCACGAAATAGACTAATAAATTACATTGTCAAAACACTGAAATATATGGATGGTGTCCAATGGGGTAAAGTTTTCTACCTGCTATTAATTTTGGTGAACCACTGCAAAAGGTCTTGGTGTAACATATATGTTAACAAATGTCAATAAATGATACAGTAATGAAAATCAACAAATTACATATTATAATTATGTAATAATTATTATATTATGCATTATCAATAGGTGTAAAGCTAAAATAAAAAACTGTAAAGATGGTGATAATAAACATTTCTAAATTCCTATTTTTCAAATCAATCAATTTCCTATGTATTATTTTTTAAAAATCAACAAAAACTTTAATAATCAATCAATTGATTAATCAACTAATAACAAAATTGTGTAATACTTAAAACTACAAGCTTCACATTAATTTGTGTTTGAGTGCAATGAACTCTTAAATTAAATCGGGGTAAAAAATGTGGTTAAACTGATGCAGGTGCGGTATGCTGGAACACATCCTGGGTGTAACGTACATAGTCGAAAGCGTTTGGTATCTCGCGCCCCTTACTGTCGCAATATGGTGACATACTGTTGATGCAGTAGTTTGCGAGGTCGGTTGGTAGGTTCTGCAAGAGGACAAGAAGGAAAATTAAACGAATGCTGTATATCAGTGTTTATCACTACAGAAAGTATTTGTCCACACCAAAATAACTAACATGTGATTTATTGTTGCATACTATGTAAATCCTTGAGAAAAAAGTGTGTCCTAATGGGAAAATTTAAGAGAATATAACTATACCAACTAGGCTTCATTTTGAACAGTAATTGCAGGATTTTGGGTTTGAATCCAACTTTTTCTCAAAAGTTTATTAACATTTGTACATGTACATTATACATCAAACAGTTTGTATTTTCCAAGAATGATTTATATAATCTCACTTTTCCTTTCTCACTTTGCCTTCTTACCATACCAATTAAGTTTAAACAAATAACTTTAGAAGTAGTACTGTAGGTAAACATGCTTGTGGTAGGTGTAACAAAAATTCTTTCATATTTCAAACCAAGTACAATCACCATTTACAGGATGGACTTACTGTATGTGATTTCCAATAAAGTAATACTTGGTTTCTATATAATACTGTAGTTACACGCTATCACCAACAGCTTTGGGTGATGCTGATTGGTCGGTAGTAATCAGGAAGCCCTCCCAATTGCGTCTAGAAAACCAGGCTTTAGGCTTATTAAGAGGTTGTAGGGAGTAGTGCTGTTTTTATTTTGTATTTTCTATCCTTACCCTACCCTACCGTAATTTTCAATATGTACCCTGACATTCCATTAACACTTACCGCATACAGCTCTTGTTTGGTGACGTATGGTTTGCCTTCTGCACTCAGCAAACTGAACGCTTTTTCGATATCATCCTTGGATTGTACATTTTCAGTTTCTCTACTAATCATAAATGCCATGTACTCTTGCAAAGAAACTTGTCCATCCCTACAAAAATGTAAATTAAAACATTTGTGACAACTATTTAGAACAATTATCATTATTATTACTGCCTAAATTTAGTTTTCAAATTGAATCTCAATAGACAAGTTTAGCAAAATATATGTTTTCAGTACAAAGAAGTTACTACTGTATACAATTAATGTATAAAATGCATTTTCCATTAAAATTCTGTCTACGTACCTGTTTGGATCAACACTATCCAGAATAGCTTGGAATTCTGGGTCGTCTTGACCTTCTTCCACCATTGGAAGGTCATAACCAAGGGAGCGCAGGCAAGATTTGAACTCATGATGGTCGAGACGTCCAGTCTTGTCTTTGTCGAAATGCCTAAACGAAAGAAAGTCATACAACAGTCCCTTTAAAAACAAAATACTCAACTACCATTTGTTTAAAGATTAAACTGCAATATCATTTTAAATTTAAAAATATTTGTTACTTCAAAGATTTCCATATCAATTTATTTATTATTCAAGAGAAAAAAGAAACATAAATTTTTTTTAATTATTTTTATTAACAATCTATCATTTAATACATTATTACTAGTATTACCAGTGTTTTCATTACTAAAGTTGATATTATTTTTTAGTTAATATATAGGTTGAACAGATGAAATTATTAATCTTATAATTAGTATTATCATTATAACCATTATTTTGTCTTAATCATAATCATTTAACTTACTTGAACATCATGCTGAACTCCTTCAATGAATCTTCACTCACACCAGTTGTGTTACTGAGAAGAAAAATCACATAAATGAAATCAGTTAAGGAAAGTCAATCTTTGTTATGTAAAAGAAAGAGGATCTGTAATAAACCCATATAATGTTAT